GGTGGGGCGGTCACGTGGTGAAGCCCCGCCCCCTTCTTTACCCCGCCCTCTGCTTCCGTTTGGGAATGAGGATGAAGCAGGAGGGTAAGTAGCCGGGCCTTCTGACACACTTCCGGTGATGTCAGGGGGTGTGGCCTTCTGTCACTTCCGGTGATGTCAGGGGCCGTGGCATATGCAAATAAGTTATGCTAATGAGTTATGCTAATGAGCTCCGGCAGCTCTTTTTCTACAACAAGACCCCTGTATATACATAATATTGGGGAGGGGCCGTGGCTCGGTGGTGTATATACATACATGCGTACACACACATGCATATATTCCTCCTCTATAAAAATTCTGTCTGGGCTGCCAACATGCTTGGAGGGCTGGTAGTTTCCCTAAACCATCCATAATATTTTTGAATAGTCATTAAAAGGGGGGGGGGCAATTGGAGGGAGAAAAGAGGGAACTTCGGGCATGAGAGAAAAAGCCGGCGTGGGCTTCAGCGGCGCCTTCTGCGCAGGCGCACGCTTCGCGCAGGCGCACCGGGACGACAACAAACGGGACGGGGCTGAGAGGACGCCGGTCTTGCGGCTGCGGACTCCCCCGACCCCTCGCCGCCCGCCCGCCTCCCATGGCCGCCGTGTTCCTGGTGACGGTCTACGAGTACTCGCCGCTCTTCTACATCGCCGTGGTCTTCGTCTGCTTCCTGGTCACGAGCGGCCTGGTCTTAGGATGGTCAGTGGGGAGGGGGAGGGGTGGGGTGAAAAAAAAAAGGGAACGGAGAGGGGCGAAGGTGGGGGCCGGGCCAAAGGGGAGGGGGTTAGGTTTGCAGAGTTGCCAACCTCCAGGTGGGGACTGGAGACCTCCCAGAGTGAGAACTGGTCTCCAGGTGAAAAGAGAGCAAGAGTCCAGGAGCACCTGAAAGACTAACTACATATGTAGTCCAGTGTGGCACCTTTGAGACCGACAAAGGTTTATTCAAGGTATGAGCTTTTGTGCGCACAAGCGAGCTAATGGCTTGAATAAACCTTTGGTGGTCCCAAAGGTGCCACTTTTTTCCTGAAGCCTTTTTTTGTTTTTTTTTCCGAAAAATTGGAAAATTTGAAAAAAGAAAAGAAAAGAAATTGATTATGGAACATTTTATTTTAACATGATGAATAAAATATTTTAAGACAAGGTGTTCAAATATTTTCCAAATCATTTCTAAAAAAATATGTATGGTATCAGATTGATCTAATGTCTGTGCACTGAGGACAAGCCAAGTGCTAGGTTACAAACTGAACTCTCCAATGCAAGAACAAGATGCAGTTCTTCCTTTAGGACAGCGGTTCTCAACCTGTGGGTCGCGACCCCTTTGGGGGTCGAACGCCCCTTTCACAGGGGTCACTTAAGTCCATCGGAAAACAAATTTTCGATGGTCTTGTTTTTGTGATTAATCACTATGCTTTAATTATGTTCAATTTGTAACAATGAAAATACATCCTGCATAGCAAATATTTACATTACGATTCATAACAGTTATGAAGTAGCAACAAAAATAATTTTATGGTTGGGGGTTACCACAACATGAGGAACTGTATTAAAGGGTCGTGGCATTAGGAAGTTTGAGAACTACTGCTTTAGGAGGTGCTATAGTCACAAGAAAAGAAAAAGGTTTCAGTTTTGTTTTTGCATGGGGGGGTATTCTGTTTGTAATAATTGTTTGGATACACTATATTTTTAATATGCTAGTTGTGATAATTTCATGCCAAGTAAAAATGTCCATAGTCATTATGTTCCTAAAGTAACAGAATGACTTTCAATCTGGAAAAGAAAAAAGAAATGGTAATGTAGCATTTTTTTCAGTTTTTCCAAAAATTTCCATTTTCCCCTGGAAAAAACCGGCTTCAAAATTTCCAGAAATTTTACATCTCTAGGTGCCACACTGGACTCTAAACTTGTTCTACTGCTTCAGACCAACGCGGCTGATGACCTGAACCTAACAAAACTCGTGGCAGGGGGTGAGCTTTTGTGAGTCTCTGCTCTCTTCTTCAGAGGACAGAGATCAGTTCCCCTGGAGGAAATGGATGCTTTGGAAGGTGGACTTTGTGCCATCCCATCGCTTCTAAGCTCCCTTCCTTCCTTCCCCAGGTGCTAGCCCCAAATCTCCAGGAATTCCCCATGGTGGAGTTGGCATGGTACTGGGGGGGAGGAGAGAAAGACATGCCTGGGGGGGGAGCATCCAGCAATGCTTCATACTGTTCTGTGAATGTGCCACTGCGGCCTGTTCCACTGTGGCCAGTTCCACTGCGGGCCTAATAGAAGCACTCCGGGGGCCTAATCTGGCCCCTGGGCCGCGTGTTTGACACCCCTGGTTTAGAGTGCTTTTGTATACTACTGAGTTAGTATACTGTGATTTATTTGTAATAAATATCTGTAGACCACTTTATGCTTCTAAACAAAGTAATATAAAACTGTAATTTGTAAAAATTGTAAGCTGCCTTGAGGAGGACTCTAAAGAGGAAGTACAGAAATATTCAGAACAGAATTATTAAGAACGTCAGAAGAGCCCTGCTGGATCAGACCAATTGTCCATCTACTCCAGCATCCCATCTCACACAGTAGACAGCCAGTTCCTCTGCATGGCCAACGACAGGGCGTAAAGGTTGATACCTTCATAAGAACATCAGAAGAGCCCTGCTGGATCAGAGCAGTGGTCCATCTAGTCCAGCGTCCTGCCTCGCACTGCCAGTTCCTCTGGAGGGCCAGCTACAGGGCAGAGAGGCCGAGGCCTTCATTAGAACATCAGAAGAGCCCTGCTGGATCAGAGCAGTGGTCCATCTAGTCCAGCGTCCTGCCTCGCACTGCCAGTTCCTCTGGAGGGCCAGCTACAGGGCAGAGAGGCCGAGGCCTTCATTAGAACATCAGAAGAGCCCTGCTGGATCAGAGCAGTGGTCCATCTAGTCCAGCGTCCTGCCTCGCACTGCCAGTTCCTCTGGAGGGCCAGCTACAGGGCAGAGAGGCCGAGGCCTTCATTAGAACATCAGAAGAGCCCTGCTGGATCAGAGCAGTGGTCCATCTAGTCCAGCGTCCTGCCTCGCACTGCCAGTTCCTCTGGAGGGCCAGCTACAGGGCAGAGAGGCCGAGGCCTTCATTAGAACATCAGAAGAGCCCTGCTGGATCAGAGCAGTGGTCCATCTAGTCCAGCGTCCTGCCTCGCACTGCCAGTTCCTCTGGAGAGCCAACAACAGGGCACAGAGGCTGAGGCCTTCCCCTGATGTTGCTTCCTGGCATTGGGATTCAAAGGATTAGTGTCTCTGAATGTGAATTACGTTTTAAAATAACCCAATGGCCATCGGTCTTGGACCAGCCAATTCACGCTAATGCTACCCTCTGATTCCACCCTTGTGTTGAAGCCACTGCAGTTTTGGCAGAACATCCAGTAAAACTGGAACAATGGAGAGAAGATCAGCCTGGCTCCTTGCCCAAGGGTGACACGCAAATAGAGACTGCTCCGTCGATAGACGTTTTTGATGCTTGTCGTGCAGTCCCAGGTGTGTGTGACGCTCACTTAACCTGAGTATTTCTCCAACCTTAGGTTCGGGTGGGATGTTCCTGTGATTCTGAGGAACTCGGAGGATACGGAATCGAGCGTGAAACTCTGCCAGAAGCAGATGCGGCAGGTGAAGAACCCATTCAGCTTGGACGTCGGCAGCCCTGCAGTCGCCTCCCTTGCAAGTCAGTGGCCAGTTTTTCTCATTCCAGTTGTCTCCTCCCTACCCCTACCCTCTTTGCTCCCCGCCGTATCAGGTCCCGGTTTTCCCAACAGAAGAAGAAGAAGAGATTGGATTTATACCCGGCCCTTCACTACCTAAGGGAGTCTCAGAGCAGCTTACAAACTCCTTTCCCTTCCCCTCCCCACAACAGACACCCGGTGAGGTAAAAGAAGAAGAAGAGATTGGATTTATACCCGGCCCTTCACTACCCAAAGGTGTCTCAGAGCGGCTTACAAAGCTTGAAGGTAGTTATTCCTAGCAGAATGTCAGGTTCCACAGTCAAACAATCGAGTACACACTTGTCATAAGGTTATACTTTATTGCCAGAACTATGGATGCAGTAACATGGTCACTGTTAGGAATAACTACCTTCAAGCAAGCCTAGAGAGATATAGGGCATTCGTATGCACCCCCCCTCACCCTCAGGCCAGTCGGCCTGACACCCGCGCGCGGGAACGGGGCCCAAGCTGGGAAGAGCCAGCGCTGTCCGAAGACGTTTCTGTGGTCATGTGGCCGGCATGACTAGACAGCGAGGCGCACGGAGCGCTGTTCCCTTCCCACCGAAGCGGTGCCTATTTATCTTCTTGCAATTTCTTGCTTTCGAACTGCTAGGTTGGCAGGAGCTGAGGCTAGAGACGGGAGCTCACCTCATCACGCGGCACACTCGGGTCTCGAACTGCCGAGCTGCAGACCTTCCGGTCTACAGCTCAGGGTCTTAACCTCTGAGCCACCGCAGCCTCGCAAAAGCTCATACCTTGTCACAAATTTTGTTAGTCTGTAAGGTGCCACTAGGAGCTGCGGTGGCTCAAGTGGTTAAGACGCTGAACTGCAGGCTGTGGAAGGTCGGTAGTTCAGCAGTTTGAGACCCGAGTGTGCCGCATGACTGAGTGAGCTCCCGTCTCTAGTTCCAGCTCCTGCCAACCTAGCAGTTCGAAAGCAAGAAATTGCAAGTAGATAAATAGGTACCACTTCGGTGGGAAGCCAACAGCGTTCCGTGCGCCTTGGTGTTTAGTCATGCCGGCCACATGACCACGGAAACGTCTTCGGACAGCGCTGGCTCTTCGGATTTGAAACGGAGATGAGCACCGCAACCCTAGAGTCAGACTCGACTGGCTTTCGAGCAAGGGAACCTTTACCTTTTTTAGAGTGGCTCTGGACTTATGTTTTGCTTTGCTGTAATGGATTGACACTGCTTCCCCCTTTGCAGTCTTCATGCAGGGTAAAGACTTCCGTAATCCTAACAAGCGTTCTGGGCAAAGTAAATGTTGCTTCAGGGTTACAGAAACAACAGAATGAAGAACCTCCTCATGTGTAAAAATTCTCCCGATTGGGTGGATGCCTGTTACGCTACTCTTGGTGCTGGAGAGCGAAGTGTGAACGGAAGCAGTGCTAGATAACATGCGGTTGTGCGAAGAGCCCTGCTGAGACATTCTGTTTCCCCCCAGACTGTTGGCAACAAGTTTCCTTTCAGGAAGTTCACAAGCAACACATGAATTTCACGCCCCCAAACCAGTTGTTCAAAGATACGCTGCTCCAACCTGGAGGTTCCATTTTGCTATTGTAGCTAATAGCCGTTGATAGACCTGTTTGTATGTGGGTTAGGTGCTGGCAATTCGATTCCTACTTATAGCGAAGAAGAAGACGATGATGATATTGGATTTATACCCCGCCCTTCACTTGGAGTCTCAGAGCGGCTTACAATCTGCTTTCCCCTCCCTTCCCCACCCCACAACAGACACCCTGTGGAGTCGGTAGGGCTGAGAGAGCTCTTTTGAGGACTGCCCTTGAGAGAACAGCTCTGAGAGAACTGTGATTTGCCCAGGGGCGCCCAGCAGCTGCATGTGGAGGAGTGCGGAATCAAAGCTGGTTCTCCCAGATTAGGGTCGGTGCTCTTAACCACTACACCAAACCCTATGAATGAATGACCTTTAAAACATTCTATCATTAGTAGCCTTGCTCAGGTCTTGCAAACTGAGGGCCGTGCCTTCCTGGATGGAGTCCGTCCACCTCATGTTGGGTCTGCTGCCTTCAGCTTTTCCTTTTTGCCATCAGTGTGACGTCCTTGCTTCTTGGGGAGACTGTTTCTCCTTTAAACACACTCTGTGTGCATGAATTTAGTAGATTTCTGCTGCCACCAGGAATTAAAAATTCCAACTCTCTATTTTGGTAGAATGAGCCAGGGTCTAGGCGCTTCAGAGGACTATGTGGCCCTGAGGAAGGACTGTTCTGAATGCTGGGATAAGTTTAAACAAAAAATGATTTATTCATAAAAGAACAAAATAGGTTTCTGGGTATTTTTGAACTGTAGTTGAAGAATGAAAATATAACTGACAAAGCTTGCCATCACACACAGTCTCTCATACACCAAAACTCAACTCTGACAGGCTTTTATCTCTCTCTCTTATATAGCCACACAGGCTAAGCTCTCTTGCTCATAGCCACACAAGCTAGCTTTCTCATATAGCCACTCAGGCTAAACTCCAACTCTTTCCTCTGTCATACAGACTCTCACAAAAACTCTCCACTCTCCACACTTCAAGAACACTAAATCACCTCATAGACATCTCTCCTCCCACACTCTCAGTCATCAGCCAATCACATCACACTCGTCTCCGGCTATCACTTTCCTTACATTACTGCAGTCACACTAAACATTTAAAGAAACACACACCCCAAAAATGGAATCATTACAATCAGTTTATCTGATTTCCCCTTTAAGGTCATCCCTACGGTTTGTAGCTGCGAATTCTGGAAGTTGGTTATGCCTCGTGTGAAGAAGAACGCACTGCCTTATACTGACTCTGAACACTAGTCTGTCATATTCAGTATTGTCTGCTCAGGCTGGCAGCGGCTCTCCAGAGTCTCAGGCAGAGGCCTTTCACATCCCCTGTGGCCTGTTTTTTTTTCACCTGGAGATGCCAGGGATTGAACCTGAGACCTTCCACATACCAAGCAAAGGCTCTACCACTGAGCTGCAAAAAAAACAACCCTTCTTTTTTTCTGACCTGAATTTATTGCCTGTCAGTGTCCTTTGGTGGCTGCCGTTTTTACTTATCACACTTCTTGCCCACTCATCTTCCAGAGAGCACAGGGGAGCATACATGAGTCTCTTCTCAGAGCCAGTTTGGTGTCGTAGTTAAGTGTACGGACTCTAATCTGGGAGAACCGGGTTTGATTACCCACTCCTCCACTCGCCCCTGCTGGATGACCTTGGGCAAGCCGTAGCTCTGATAGGAGCTGTTCCTGAAAAAAAAGAGCAGTTTCTGTCAAGAGCTCTCTCAGCCCCACCTACCTCACAGGGTGTCTGTTGTGGGGAGGGGAAGGGAAAGGAGATTGTAAGGCGCTCTGAGACACCTTTGGGTGGTGAAGGGCAGGGTATAAATCCAATCTCCTCCTCTTCCTCCTCTTCTTCTTCTTCTTCCATTTTATACTTACAACAACCCTGTGAAGTAGGTTTGACTGGCCCATGGTTACCTGGTGAGAGCTAGAGTGAGTAAGGATTTGAACCTGGGTCTTCTTCCTAGTCCAGCAGTCTAGGCACTCTGTCGTACTGGCTCGCTCTCTACCCACCTTCCTGCTTTTTATCCCAGTCTCCAAAGAGTTCATTTAAATTCTCCTGGTTTTCTCCTTCCCATTTGATCCTTGCGAAGATCAGTTGGCACACGCAAGGTCATTCAATAAGCTTTTTGGCACCAGTTTGGTGTAGTGGTTAGGAGCGTGCACTCTAATCTGGGAGAACCGGATTTGATCCCCCACTCCTCCACTTGCAGCTGCTGGTGTGACCTTGGGTCAGTCACAGTTCTCTCAGAGCTGTTCTCTCAAGGGCAGTTCTCTCAGAGCTCTCTCAGCCCCACCTACCTCACGGGGTGTCTGTTGTGGGGAGGGGAAGGGAAAGGAGATTGTAAGCCACTCTGAGACTCCATCAGGTAGTGAAGGGCAGGGTATAAATCCAATCTCCTCTTCTTTTTATTCTTCTTTTTGGCAAAGTTGGGATTTGAATCCAAGTGTCCCTAAACATTGGGGTTACGAGGGAGGGAGGAACATTTCTATCTGCCCGTTTTCTAAACCGCTGGATCTACAGAGGCATTACTCGGCTGCTTATAAGCAGGCACAAGAAAGTCACAAGAGGAGGGCAAGGAAGATGGTGAGGGGTCTGGAGACCAAGTCCTACGAGGAAAGGCTGAAGGAGCCGGGTATGTTTAGCCAGGAGAGGAGACAACTGAGAGGTGATACGATAGCCATCTTCAAGTACTTGAAGGGCTGTCATCTAGAGGATGGTACGGGAGAAACGTATGCCATTTCATCTGCTTTGGAGCTTCCTTCTTCACAGACTCCACACACCAATGTTCCTTCCTTTCCCCAGGTGGTGTGACTCTGACGCTCGATTGTCTGGAAGACTGTCTCCTGACATGCTACTGGGGTTGCAGCGTGCAAAAACTGCACGAAGCTCTGCAGAAACACGTGTATTGTTTCCGAATAAAGACTCCCCAGGTCTTTGAGGATGCGTTGCAGGACGAATATCTTTACCGCCAGCAGTACTGGTATCCTTTTGTTGTGTTTTCACACCTTCAGCTTTGGCACCCTGCTTGTAAACTGGACTTCCAGCTCATGCGGCTGCAGAGGGAAGATGGAGAAAGTGTTGCTCTTGACCTCTCTCAGCCCCACCTGCCTCACAAGGTGTCTGTCGGGTGGAGAGGAAGGGAAAGGTGATAGTGAGCCGCTTTGAGACAACTTAAGGCAGCCCCGATGGATCAGAAAAGTGGTCCAGCTAGTCCAGCAGCTGCTTCACACAGTGCCGAACCAGGTACCTCAAGAGCCAAACAGTTTCCTTGCGTCCGAGGAAGGCCTCGTCGTTAATAGAATGAGAACTTTAGATCAAACCCATCGTTGTTTGTTTTTTTTAATATATATATATATATATATATATATATATATATATTTTAAGAATTATTCAGATTATCACGACCTGAATTTTACACCCGATTCTAAATTCTGCGCTTGTGCATTATAATCATAGACAACAGTGTCTCACTGTCCACTGTGGGTGCAGAGGAGAGCAATGAGGATGATTTGGGGCCTGGAGACCAAGCCCAATGAGGAAAGGCTTGAGAACAGTCAGTCTGGAGAAGAGGAGGTTGAGGGGGGACATGATGGCTCTCCTGAAGTCTTTGAAGGGCTATCCCTTAGAGGAGGCAGGGAGCTGTTCCCGTTGGCAGCAGAGGAGAGTGACACGGATGATTGGGGGTCTCGAGACCAAGCCCTGTGAGGAAAGGCTGAGGGACTTGGGAATGTTCAGTCTGGAGAAGAGGAGGTTGAGGGAGGGACAGGATTGCTCTCTTGAAGTATCTGAAGGGCTGTCCCTTAGAGGAGGGCAGGGAGCAGTTCCTGTTGGGAGCAGAGGAGAGTGACACGAATGATCGGGGGCCTGGAGACCAAGCCCTGTGAGGAAAGGCTGAGGGACTTGGGAACAGTCAGTCTGGAGAAGAGGAGGTTGAGGGAGGGACAGGATTGCTCTCTTGAAGTATCTGAAGGGCTGTCCCTTAGAGGAGGGCAGGGAGCTGTTCCTGTTGGCAGCAGAGGAGAGGACTCACAAGAATGGGTTTAAATTAGGCTGGAGTTAGGGGGGGAAACTATAGTAAGGGTAATTCAGCAGTGGCATGGGCTACCCAGGGAGGGGGTGAGCTCCCCCTCCCTAGCAATGTTCAAACACCAGCTGGATGAACACTTATCAGGGATGCTCTAGGCTGATCCTGCATCGAGCAGGAGATTGGATGTCCTGTACGGCCCCTTCCAACTCTATGATTCTAAATGAAAAAGGCCCCAAACTTTCCTGTCTGAGCTGAACTAGCTCTTAGGAGAGTCTGTTGATCTGCCCCAAGAGACAGCCCGTCATGTGTTTACGGTATTACCTCCGTGCAAGCAAGGCCAAGAAGCCTGTCTTGGCACCTCCTCGGTACTTAACGTTTGGCAGCTGTAACCGGAGTGTTCCTTGACCCAAACAAAGTGTAAAGAAGGGTGACAAACTGGAGAAGCATTGTCTCTTACCCGAAGAGGCACAACTGACCGAGCTGGGCCCCGTGCCCAGGTCTCGGTACCCGCTGGTAGTGCTGCTGACGTTGGCGGGTGAAGAAGACAGAGAAATATATGATATTGTAGGTAATCTTTTATTTTATGTCGTAGTGGGACAGCAATTCATGCAGAGCTGCTCATGGGCGGGAAATGACAACTGAGCAGAATCTAGTGGAATGCCGGCTTTTCTCTTACGGCTGCGCAGTTTTGGTGTGTGTTTGTATCAGTCCACGTTTAAGGCCACAGTTCTGCCTGGAGCTCTTTATTATTTTATGAGTTACTTTATTTATGCCCTGCCTTTCTCCCCAGTGGGGAACCAAAGTGGCTTACTGTAATGATTCCATGTTTTGGTGTGTGTGTGTGTCTTTAAATGTTGAGTTTGACTGCAGTAATGCACGGAGGACGATAGGGGGAGATGGGCATGCTGTGATTGGCTGATGACTGAGAGCAGGGAAATTTTTGGGCAGGAATGCACAGGAACGGAGTTCCGGCTGGCTCCTGAGTTGGCCACTCCCAGCAGGAACTCATTAGCATAATAGGCCACACCCAATAGGGGTGTGTGGCCTAACATGCAAAGGAGTTCCTGCTACAAAAAAAGCCCTGGGTTTTGACAACAAACAAGGTAAACAGAATAAGAGGCAAAAGGTGGGTGTGGCTGGATGAGCACACTTCTGGTAACACAAGGGGTGTGGCCTCATATGCTAATGACCTATGCTGTCAGGGGTGTGGCCTAATATGCCAATGTGTTTCTGTTGTTTGGTGTGGCCTATTATGCTAATAAGTTCCTGCTGGGCTTTTTCTACAAAAAGAGCCCTGACTGAGAGTGTGGGAGGAGATGTTCGGAGAGGAATCTGTGTGTGTGTTTTATGACAGAGAGTTCTGTGTATGTGTCTTTGGAAAGTGAAGTGTGGAAGAGCTATGAAGAGAGTCTGTGGGATTCTAAAAGTGTGGTGAGAGAGTCTATATGGCGAAGAAACAAGTAGTGTCTAAACGGTGTGGTTAGACAAATGTTTTATCTCGTGTGCCTAAGACAAAGAGCTTAGCCAGTGTGGCTACATGTATGAGAGAGAGAAGCCTGTCAGTGTGGAATTTTGGTGTCTGAGAGACTATGTGTGAGACACCTTGCCAGTTATATTTACAAGTTCCTTTTTCTAGTAACCGTTCAAATAACCAGAAACCTATTTTGTTCTTTATTCAATAAATCAATTTTTGTTTAAACATATCCCAGAAATCAGTACAGTCTTTCCTCAGGGTCACATAGTCCTCTGAAGTGCCCAGACCCTGGGTCATACTACCAAAGAGAGAGAATTGGAATTTTTAATTCCTGGTGGCAGCAGAAAACTACCAAGTTTATATACCAAGAGAGAGAGAGAGATTGGATATATACCCCGCCCTTCACTACCCAAAGGAGTCTCAGAGCGGCTTACAAACTCCTTTCCCTCCCCCTCCCCACAACAGGCACCCTGTGAGGTAGAAGAAGAAGAAGAAGAAGAAGAAGAAGAGATTGTATTCATACCCCGCCCTTCACTACCCAAAGGAGTCTCAGAGCGGCTTACAAACTCCTTTCCCTTCCCCTCCCCACAACAGACACCCTGTGAGGTAGAAGAAGAAGAAGAAGAGATTGTATTCATACCCCGCCCTTCACTACCCAAAGGAGTCTCAGAGCGGCTTAAAAACTCCTTCCCCTTCCCCTCCCCACAACAGACACCCTGTGAGGCAGGTGGGGCTGAGGGAGCTCTGACAGAAACTGCTCTTTTTCAAGAACAGCTCTTATCAGAACTACGGCTTGCCCAAGGTCATCCAGCAGGTGCCAGCGGAGAAGTGGGGAATCAAACCCGGTTCTCCCAGATTAGAGACCGCGCACTTAACCACTACACCGAACTGGCTTAAAGGAAAAACAGTCTCCCCAAATAGCAGGTACGCCACACTCACGTAGTTCTCTCCTCCATTTTACCATCACAACAACCCTGTGAGGTAGGTTAGGCTGGGAGTGCTTGACTGGCCCAAGTTCGCTCCATGAGCTTCCATGGCCAAGTGGGCATTTGAACCTGGCTCTTACCGATCCTAGTCCCGACACTCCCAACTACTACACCACGCGGGCTCTTCGAAGAGGCTGGATTGCAGATTATTAGAAATAATGCCCCCGTGTGGATCTATGGGGCAGCCCAATTTGGAATACTGTGTACAAGTCTGGTCACCGTATCTCCAAAAGGGCATTGCAGAGCAGGAAAAAAGTACACAGGAGGGCGACCAAGATGATTTGGGGGGCTGGAGCTCCTTCCTGATGAGGAAAGGCTGAAGAGTCTGGGACTTTTCAGTTCAGAGAAGAGGCGACTAAAAGGGGGACAGGGTAGAGGTTTATAAAATGATGCATGGGGTGGACAAAGAGAATTTTTCCTCCCGCTCCCAAAATACCATAATTTAAGGGCATCCAGTGGAGCTGATGGGCAGTAGGTTCAGGACGGACAAAAGGAGATACTCCTTTACATAGTCAGTGATAAGAATGTGGAATGTGCTGCTAGAGGATGTGGTGGTGGCCACCGGAATAGACAGCTTTAAAAGGGGATTCGATAGATTCATGGAGGAGAAATCTATCAATGGCTACTAGCCATGGTGGCAGAGGGGAACCTCCACATTCAGAGGCACTCATCGTTTGTATCCCAGTGCCAGGAGGCAAGATCAGGGGAATTGGGCTCAGTGCCCTGTTGCTGGCCCTCCAGAGGAACTGGTTTGGCCGCTGTGTGAGACTGGATGCTGGACTAGATGGACTATTGGTCTCATCCAGCAGGTCGCTACTTATGTTCTTATCCTGTAGGCCTTTATCATCTCTCCCAGGGTCAGATATTGGATCTCTTTGGTCTGCTGTTTTGGGACCAGTGTAGGGTTGCCATCTATGCCATTCCTCTCTTAAAGCTGTTTATTCCTGTGGTTAAGATGACGGTGATGAAAGATTTTTAAAAGATCGGTGCGAGATGTCAACAGTGGCTAGTTTACAATGGAATTTTAAAGAGTGTTCTTTTGTTTCAGTGTCGGAAATATGGAACTGTTTAAATGACCCGGTTGCAAGTTTCTCTAAGCATAGACTGTATAATACTATGCAGAAAGTGAGAAAGCTCAGCGAAAGACCTCTTTTTCTTCTTCCCAAAGATTTCTATGATATCCATAGTTCACCTTCCGGATGACAATTACCGGCTTTCCTGCAGAATACTCTATCAATACCTCCTCCTGGCTCAGGGTCAATTTCACGATCTGAAGGTAAGTTTGAGCTAGTTCTGGTGGTGACCTGTCAAAAGTGAAGCAAAGGCTCTTTAAGGTAGAAGGAGCTGCCTGCCGTGAGATATTTAATGACCACTGCAGATCTTAAACTTAAATTGTCTGCAAATGACAGCCCTAACTTAGTCACCTGTGTGGATTACAATACAATTTGCCCACGGAAGGTTCTTCTTGAACTTGCAGCTATAATGATTGTCGAATCATCAGTGAGATCCATGAAATATTGATATGTTACCAGTTGAAATGAATTGAGAGATACTACATGTCTTTCATCTTTGTCCAGAAGAAGATTATTGTCGAAACGGCAGGACATTCCGGAGACCACACTTACTATTTACATTTATATTATTTGTACACTACTTTGTATAATATATATTTTTGATGAAAAATTGTTCAGCGATAAATTGTCACAGTTCTTAGCTAGTTTCCCGGTTTGTACTGTGACTGTGTCCATCTATCTAAAATTGGGCTGGAGACTTAAGAGACAGAAAGCTATATTGCCACTGGTAGATTTCCTATCTGTTAAGTCTCCAGCCCAGTCTTTATCCACATAGGTGACTAGTTTAGGGCTGTCATTTGCAGACAGTTTAAGATCTGCAGTGGCCATTAGGTATCTTACAAGTGTTATAGGAGCTTTCCAGTCTCTGCTTGTGGGCTTTGCATTCTTTCTACAGTTTGGTGTAGTGGTTAAGTGTGCGGACTCTAATCTGGGAGAACCGGGTTTGATTCCCCCACTCCTCCACTTGCACCTGGCTGGATGACCTTGGGCAAACCGTAGCTCTGATAAGAGCTGTTCTTGAAAAAAAAAAAGAGCAGTTTCTGTCAAGAGCTCTCTCAGCCCCACCTACCTCCCATGGTGTCTGTTGTGGGGAGGGGAAGGGAAAGGATTCTGTAAGCCGCTCTGAGACTCCCAAGTGAAGGGCGGGGTATAAATCCAGTCTCTTCTCTTCTTCTACATAACAGTCCCACAGCTGAGCTAATGTCTGGTCTGGCTAAAGTGGATGTATATAAGAGCTTACCTACCACTTCACGATATCAGTTGCCTTCAGGTAGCTCTGCAGAGTCTTCTCCTTGTTTGATGTAGTGTGGGATGGGCCTCGGGGCTATTTGGAGTGGCGGAGAGAGCAGCAGTCTAAGGGCCAGGCATTGGTCCATCTTGCCCTCCCCCAACTTCTCATTCATCTTGCAAATGGCATACACAAAGGTCCACGTTGCATCCTGTCCCTGGAGCCTCTTCCCTCTTCTTCCCAGCCCTGGTGTCACGGCTCCTGCTAAATAAGTGGCCCCTGCTGAATGCGAGCAAGCGGCCCCAGCAGACGATCTAAGTGCTGCTGGGGATGAGCTTGCAATGCCGGAAACTCCTGCATCTGACAGGGCTGAGCTTCCAGAGGTTACCCCAGCAACAGCTGAGGCGGAAGCACGCCGGACAGTTCTCCTCCTGATTTGCCTCCACCGGTATCCCGTTTGAGAGAACAGCGCCGTCGGGATATAGCAGCTCGGCGGCGAGAGGCACGCATGCGTGGCAGGCGCTCATTCAGCCCTGAGTATTAGCAGGAGCCGGGACTTGCTTGGGGCGCACTAATTGCCAGCAGTCATGTGGGCTATTTAACCCTCGCACTCACACCGACAAATCGTGCCAGCAACTAGTCTCGTCGGACAAAGCTCTGCACGTCCTCACTCATGTTCCTAACTCCTGGTTCCTGTCTGGATTCCCTCGGCTCCTTGACCTCGGCTTGAAGGACTGCGCTTAGACCCTGCACCTCGAACCTTTGACTCCCTGGCTCTTGACTCTTTTGGACTCTGGCTTCCTGATGACTCTTAACGGTTTGTGCTTTGAACTTGGTTTCCCGGTTGGTTTGCTTGCCTGGCTCTTGACTTTGGACTGTACCTTGACCACCCCGCTCTTGCTCTGTGTGTTGGACTGGGTTTCCCGGCTGGCTTGCTTGACTGGCTCTTGACCTCGGACTGTATCCTGACTGCCTCGCCCCTGCCAAGCCCCGCTTCGTGACACCTGGCCACACTGAACCAGACACTTTTCGTTCCGCTCAGCCTAGGCTCCACTAGGCGGTCTCATTTAAGCCCCGCCCTAGCATCTGGGCCTGCCCCCACGGCCCACCCCTTCCCCAGCACTGCCACATCTGGCATAGTCCCGCCCAAGGGGATGTCGCCTCATCAGGTGGTGGCAGCCAAGCAGCCTCATCCAACAGCTCTGATCCTAGGGCTCACCCCCCCCCCCACCGCACTCTCTCTAATCTTCCGTTTGCCCATCGGGTCCACAACCCCTCGGCCAGCACCACATCCATTCAGTCTGGTGTAGTGGTTAGGAGCGTGGGCTCTAATATGGGTCTGATTCCCCACTCCTCCACATGCAGCTGCTGGTGTGACGTTGGGTCGGTCACAAGTGCTATCAGACCTGTTCTCTCAAGGACGGTTCTCGAGAGAGCTCTCTCAGCCCCACCCGCCTCACAGGGTGTCTGTTGCGGTGAGGGGAAGGGAAAGGAGATTGTGAGCTGCTCTGAGACTCCTTTGGGTAGTGAAGGGTGGGGTAGAAATCCAGTCTCCTCCTCCTCTTCCTCCTCCGCCACTACCTCTTCTTCCTCTTCCTCCTCCCCACACATTCAGCGCTGCCATCCCCTCCACTCCAGTAGCTCTTTCTACCTGCCTGGTCCTGAAAGGGTATGTTTAGCCTGGGAAAGAGAAGGTTTAGAGGGGACACGATTGCAGTCTTCAAGTATTTGAAGGGCTGCCATGTAGAAGATGGAGCAGATCTATTCTCTCTTGCTCCGGATTGCAAGACTAGATCTAAGGGGTGAGAATGACAAGGGAGTCGTTACTGGCTAAATATCAGGAGAAACTTCCTAACTGTAAGAGTGGTTGAGCAGTGGAACAGTCTGCCTCGGGAGGTGGTGGATGCTCCTTCGCTAGGCGTTTTCAAGAGAAGGCTGGACGACGATCTCTCGGGTATGTTGTAGGGCTATCTTTCGGCTGTGCTCCTGCCGGGTGCAGGGGGTTGGACTAGATGACCTGCAAGGTCCCTTCCAACTCTGACATTCTATGATTCCATGGTTCCTCTCACTGCTCCCCCCCCGATTACATTATAAAATTGTACATAGGGTGGAGAGAGTTTGCAAAGGGAACTTTTTCTCCCTCTCCTAAAATACTTGAACTCGAGGGCATCCAGTGAAGCTGATGGGCAGTAGGTTTTCAGGGCAGACAAAAGGAGATGTTTCTTTACACAGCGTGGGATAAATACGTGGAATTTGCTTAATGGCCAGAGGCATAGACGGCTTTCAAAGGGGATTAGACAGATTAGTGGAGAAGAGGTCTGTCGGTGGCTACCAGTCACAGCGCGTAAAGGGGATTTTCCCATTTTGCCTTTAATTTGGGGCCACGCTAAGCATGGCTAACGGGCTTTACCTTTTCTGCTTCCCCCCCCCTTTCCTGCAGCAACTCTTCATGTCTGCCAACAGCACCGGCCCTTCTCTGAGCGGCCCTCCCTCCGGAGAGACGGCCGAGGACCGCGCCCTGCTCGAGAAAGCCGGGCTGGCAGAGGAGGAGGCGGCGCCGGCAGAGGAGAGCAGCAAGGACTGCATCGTCTGCCAGAACCGGGCCGTCAACTGGGTCTTCCTCCCTTGCCGGCACACCTGCCTGTGCGACGAATGCGTGACGCATTTCCAGCACTGCCCGATGTGCCGGCAGTTCGTCGTGGAGTCCTTCCCGCTCTGCATCCCCAAGGAGTAAGGACAAGGAAAGCGGGGGCCCTGCGTTGTACGGCCGGAGCTTCCAGAATAGTCTCTGGCGCATTCCCCTTGCTTTTTCCCTTCCGCCTGGAGTCTCGTTTGGGGCGGTCCGTCGGTAGGCCGGGAGCGAGACAGGCTCCCCCGAATGATGCATTTGGAAAGATGGCACCTGGTATTTTTGGGAAAGCCAAGAAACAACCGGGCAAGGCGCTATTTGCAACCATGTCTATTAAAGGTACAAGGCACAATATATGTGTAACAGCATCTAAGCAAAAGTAATCCTAAATACAATCATACCAAAATTACAAACACTAATAGTTGAATTCAGAGGTAAGTATAAAGAATCCACTGTACAAAAAAGTACAAAGTTTCAAAGTCCAAGAAGTTCAATTGACGAAGATTCCGGACTACTTCTTCGTTTCGATAATACACGAAGGCGACGTTCCTGAGGCCGACCGGAGCGATGCCAAAGGGCAGGCGTTGCAGCCATGGTGTGTTCAACCAACCGCGGATGAAGGGGGGACAGCTACGCATCCCGGGACGCATGCGTACATGCTCGCACGCAGCTGTCTTCGTGGGTTATTCGTAGAAAGATGTTGTTTCAGCAGAACTGACGCAGAGAGAATTCACCGGAACAAACGTGGAGCAATTTAGCATTGTTATTTATTTTAAGATAATAAATACAAAAGCACGACGCGAGCGTAATCTCAGATTCCGGCCGAATCCCTGCGCTTTGCAAATTCGAGTAAATGGGCGAAAACAAGAAATGGGGGGGGGAACGATGAATATATGGAGGTTTTATGTGTGGTTCTTCAGCGAGTCTCTGTGTATTTTTGATCTCCTCGGAGTTACTTGGATCCTTTGGCTGTCTTCCAGGAGACGTATCTACTTTGGGTTCGGAGTGCCAGAGGTGGATCGGGGCCTCCGAGAGTCACCATCTGTAAATGGCTGTGTCTGAACTTGGTGTGAGCGGCCACGCCGGAAAGAACCTGTTCTGAAGGCCAGAACAGGTGCGATGGTGGTGGAGGGTGGGGAGATCCAATATCCGTACTGTTGTCTTCCAAGATTTCAGTTGGAACTACAGGGGAGAGCAGGCATGATACATACCAGGAGGATTGGGCTGGGGATGGGGGGGGGGGCGTTATCTGTTTCCCATGCTGTTTTCTCAACTGGGATTCCTCACCTCCACTGTCTGATGGGGAACTGTCACGGCTCAGGTGGGGTGTCACCTGACGCTGCCACCACTCTGGATTTAGGTTCCCTTGAGAAGGCCCAGAGCCCCCTCCCAAGACCTTCAGGCCTCCCTTTTGGCCGAATAACAGGCACGAGGACCAGGCAGAGTGAACCAAGGAAAAGGTTTATTTTATAGGAGGTCAAACAACAAGGTGCAGAATAATAACAGTGAGTGGGTGAAAAGAAATCAAATGCCCTAACGCGTCTCAATATACACTGTCCCTAGCTCACTATCTGCAGTGGCCTTACTCACCCTTCCCTCAGGATGAGGGTCTCTCCCCTGCAGCAGCCTTCCTTCTGGCTCTGCCTTCTTGGAAGAAAGAACAGCTTCTGCTCTGGCACCAGCCCTTTTGTTCCCCAGCCCTCTTCTTCCCTATTGGTCCATTTTGGCTCCAAAACCTCTCAGGGGCTTCTGGGAGTTGTAGGCGCAGCCTCACCTACTGCTAGCCAGGCTCCCTGGGCCTAGTAGGCCTCTGGTGGCGCACAGCCCAGGTCATGACAGGGACAGATACAGATGGCAAACGGCTCTCTGTTCGTTGCCGTTTTGCGTTGGGGAAGCAGCACAGCCGGTGCGGAGAGGGTTACCACCACCACCGTCACAGCCTTGACCCAAGTACAGCCCCACCCCCATCTCTGTGGTTTCCATTAGCAAAATAAACAACAACAATCCATCAGGTGAGTAAATTGCAGACTCTCCCACCATCTTGTGCAGGGCCCCCCCCCCCCAAGCCAAGCCGAAGTGAAGACTCTGCCAAGGTGAAGCTTAGGCTAAGGTGAACCTGGAAGGCTTTGCTTCCTGTCTGAGTCACTGCCCAGTCCATAAAGGACATGGAATTAGTAACCTGTGGAACTCACTGCCACAGGAAGTGGTGGCGGCTACAAGCATGGACGGCTTCAAGAGGGAATTAGATAAGCATATGGAGCAGAGGTCCATCAGTGGCTATTAGCCACAAGCTATAGAGAGGAACTCTCAGTCTGGGGCAAGGGATGCTCTGTATTCTTGGTGCTTGGGGGGGGGGGGCGGGCAACAGTGGGAGGGCTCCTAGTGTTCTGGCCCCACTGCTGGACCTCCTGATGGCACCTGGTATTTCTGGCCACTGTGTGACAGAGTGTTGGACTGGATAGGCCACTGGCCTGATCCAACATTGGCTTCTCTTATTTATTTATTTATTTATTTATTTGGGACTTGTATCCCGCCCTACCCAATGGCTCAGGGCGGCTAACAGACGGCCATGCCGAGATTAAAATATAAAACAGTACAGACAGTAAAACAATATTACCTACATAATAAAATTTGGTGCTCTAATAATTTACACAAAGTGACCAAGATGCACGACATCCCATACTGGCAGCCAATTTTCTTCATAGCATGAGCACCAGGAAGACTATTTTCCCCGGCTCGATCGGGCAACATCTACCCCCCCCCCCCCCCCCCCAGTGAGGTATGTTCTTATGAGGGGATCGGATCAACGTAATAGAGCAGAGATCCATCAGTGGCTATTAGCCACAAGGTATAGATAGGAGCTCTCGGTCTGGGGCAAGGGATGCTCTGTCTTCTTGGTGCTTGGGGGCCCCGGCAACAGTGGGAGGGCTTCCAGTGTCCTGGCCCCACTGCTGGACCTCCTGATGGCACCTGGTATTTTTGGGAAAGCCAAGAAACAACTGGGGAAGGCGCTATTTGCAGCCATGTCTATTAAAGGTACAAGGCACAATATATGTGTAACAGCATCTAAGCAAAAGTAATCCTAAATACAATCATACAAAAACTACAAGGAATAATAGTTGAATTCAGAGGTACTAAGTATAAAGAATCCACCATACAAAAAAGTACAAAGTTTCAAAGTCAAATAACTTCAATTGATGAAGATTCCAGACTACTTCATTTTGATAATACACTTCCTCAGAAGTAAGTATTTTCGACATTCCTCTAAGCTGAGTTAGTGTGAGCTAGCTCAGTTTTTTAGCCTCCAGCTCACACATTTTTGTCTTGGCTCAGGAAGGAGGGCTCCAGAGCAAACCAATTTATGCAGTAGCTAAATCACCTACTCACAACTTTAATGTCAGTAGCTCACAAAGTAGAATCTTTGCTCACAAGACTCCCCATCTTAGAGGGAGCATTGTCCATGAGTGGTGTTTATTTCTTATTCTTTTGCAGTATAGTAGAATCTTCTATTTCAAATGTTCACATCCAAAAGGTACATTCACAAATTCCTTTTAACGATCTCTAGTCAGATCTGCTGTAAGCTTCCTATTGCTACCCACAACAGACACCCTGCGAGGTAGGTGGGGCTGAGGGAGCTCTGACAGAAACTGCTCTTTTTCAAGAACAGCTCTGACAGAGTGGTGGCTTGCCCAAGGTCATCCAACAGCTGCAAGTGGAGGAGTGGGGAAGCAAACCCAGTTCTCCCCGATTAGAGTCTGTGCACTTAACCACTACACCAAACTGGTGTATTTGCTTGGGCGATTTCCCGTAGGTTCAGGATGGATGGAAGGAAATACTACTTTACACAGAGAGTGATGAAAATGTGGAATTCACTGCCAAAGGATGTGATGATGGCCGCAGGAACAGACCGCTTTAAAAGAGGATTAGATAGATTCACAGAGGATATTACTGTTTTAATCCCTTTTATATCAGAATTGTACTGTTTTACTGGCTCCTGCCACAATAAATTAGATTGCTTGATTGAGATTCACGGAGGAGAAGTCTATCAACTAGCCCTGTTGACTGAGGGGAACCTCCACGTTCAGAGGCACTAGTCCTCCGAATTCCAGAGCCAGGAGGCAACCTCAGGGGAAGGTCTCGGCCTCTATGTCCTTTTGTTGGCCCTCCACAGGAACTGGCTGGCCACCCTGTGAGACAGGATGCTGGACTGGATGGACCCCTGGTCTGATCCAGCAGTGGCTCTTAGCCGCAAGGCATAGATGGAACACTCTGTCTGGGGCAGTGATGCTCTGTCTTCTTGGTGGGGGGAGGGGGGCAAAAGTGGGAGGGCTTCTGGAGTTCCGGCCCCACTGGTGGACCTCCTGATGGCCCCTGGGTTTTGTCCTCTGTGTGACATGGGAGTGTTGGACTGGATGGAACATTGGCCTGATCCAACCTGGCTTCTCGCACGTTTCTGTGTATAAAATCCTACTCATAGCTTACATAGATCAAATCAGTCAATCCTAAAAGAAATCAACCCTGACTGTTCCCTGGAAGGCCAACAAAAGTCCGCATGGTCAAAGCAATGGTATTCCCAGTAGTCATGTATGGCTGCGAGAGTTGGACTATAAGGAAGGCCGAGCGCCGAAGAATAGATTCTTTTGAACTATGGTGCTGGAGAAGACTCTTGAGAGTCCCTTGGACTGCAAGGAGATCAAATCAGCCAATCCTAAAAGAAATCCACCCTGACTGCTCCCTGGAAGGCCAGATAATGAAACTGAAGCTCAAAGACTTTGGCCACCCAATGAGAAGGGAGCACTCCCTGGAGAAGACCCTGATGCTGGGAAAGATTGAAGGTCAAAGAAGACGGGGACGGCAAAGGATGAGATGGTTAGACAGTGTCATCGATGCAACGAACATGAAGTTGAGCAAACTTCAGAGGATGGCGGAAGACCGGAAGGCCCGGCGTGATCTGGTCCATGGGGTCGCGAAGAGTCGGGCTCGACTGTGCGACTGAACAACAACATAGCTTACACGCAATGTTCCCTCTAAGCTGTGGAGTCTTGTGAGCAAAAGTTCTACTTTGTGAGCTACTGACATTAAAGTTGTGAGCGAGAGATTCGGCTACTGCATAAATTAGTTTGCTCTGGAGCTATCCTTTCTGAGCTAAGACAGAAATGTTTGAGCCGGAGGCTCAAAAAGCGTGAGCTAGCTCACACTAACTCAGCTTAGAGGGAACACTGCTTACACGGTCACACGCCTAACGCGCATAGAGCCACCTGTCAGCTCCTTCAGGAACCACTCAGGTGCAATAAGTCCTTTTACAGGTTTTATTGAGAAAGCTGATTCAGTCGCTGTGCAGCTGAACCTTTTGACAGAACTGAGGGATAATACAAAGTGGGCATCTACGAGACCTTTGGTCCAGCCCTCATTCATACGTCATGGTTACATAGTACATAGTCAGGTTAATACAGTGCAATTAGTACAGTGTGAATGTTATCACTTGAGTCTCTCCGCAAGGCCATGAGAATGAGAAACGGCGAAAGTTCCCTCTGGCCTCTGTGGAGGATGCTTCCTTTCACAGAGGTACAAGCGTGGCTAATCTAAGGTTCACACAGATGTGCCAGAGGAGGACCTTGCAGACAAATTGATACAATGCCAGCAGGTGCTGAACGGGAACTTGGGAACTACAAGCGGGGAGGGAGAACAGCTGGCGAAGCAATAACAGAGCGTAGCTACGTACATCAGGGACCCACAGATTCTGACACCGCCTCATACCAAGTCAGGCCATCGGTCCCAGCGAGGTCAGCATCGTCTA